TGCCGCATCTAAGCTACGCTTGGAAAATCATTATAGATGAATAAATTGTTGATAAAAGTGGAAACGATTTTAACAACCGTAAAATAAATATGAGAAAACTTCTTGGTATTTTCTATTGGGAACAAAAAAAACAATGAGTTTGTGTGAAAAGGGGTTGAAAGTTTTGTAGGAGACCACGAACTTCCTTTCGCCAATGTCAAACGGGGTAAATGGCGTGGTTTGGACACATTACAAGGCATGATAGTCTGTGCAAGACCGTCATACAAGGTACCGTTGTAGGTGGACGTATGTGAGGGCGCCAAAGCAAAAACTGTTTGGACAATGTCAAACAATGGACAGGTATGACTGTACCAGAATTACTGCCGTTGACAGACCGTTGTTGAAAAGACTTAGTGTGGATTCTGCGTTCAGATCCGCCCTACGGTTACAAAAATCAAGTGAATGATGATCATGATGATGATGATGAAAATAAATATGTTTCGTATACTGTACTGTTAATTAGAACTATCTTAAAATGTGGAAGTGTATAGTTCTCATCAGAGTTGTTTCGACGTGAAGGCATACTTCAGATCAGTGTGATTTCTGATCAGCAGCATTGTGCGCTCGTTTCCAAACATGGCGATTGTTACAGCATGTGGTGGCCAGGGTCAGAATGATCAGCTATTAGCCGGTGTGCCTCGTGGGCGTGGTATTCTGACACATCATTGTCTGGCTTTTGGCTATTAGTTCAAAACGGCGCGAATTCACCAGAGGGCCGCATGCATTTTAAAGTGTCGATGCGCTCTCCACACCCAGGTTCTAGAAACCAACTGAGACTACACATGGAGGCACGCTGAGCCGACGTGTAGCATGCGTTTCAGTGACATCATAATACATCAAATGCGTTGGTTGCCCACCATAACGAGACTGACCACAATTTTGACATAAAAAATGCTTCTCTGGTCAATAGAGAAAAAATAACTTAAGTGATTGTGGTTCTTCAAAGCGTTTTATTTTATTATCAATGACTTGCCATGACGATTTGATGATTTCTCGCCCGTGAAATTCTCTTCTGATTTCTTGCTTCTATGCCACCTACGATACACAAAAATTTTAATGCAACATCTTTTGTATTCTTGAAAATGTTCTTTTATTGTCCGTTCTCCTTACTAACGTTTTCTCATTTTCTTTCATGCTAATCTTACAGAATGCGAAGGCCAGAGCTAGAATGGTTAGCGATTGGCCTGTGTGCCTCGTGGGCGTGGTATTCTGACAGTGATGGATTGCTTTGTCTGGGTTTTGGACATGTCCCAAGCGGCGCGAATTCAAGAGAAGGACGCAAGAATTCTGAACCGTCGATATGCCTCCCACAATCAGATTAGCGACTGGTTAAGACCACCCATGGAGGGACGTTGAGAGAACGTGCGATATGCGTTCCTGTGACGTCACACTCTCTCTTAATAAAACGAATGAGAAAAAGAAATGCTCTTTTTCGCTGTCATCATTTTATGTAGTAGCGCGGAGACCCAGAAACGACACAGAACACAAAAACGTCTACTCGAGTGCATTTGTGTTTCTTCATCAAACACAGAGCCAACCAGTGGTGTATATTACAACTAAACTGAGCGGACCTTACTTAAAATATATGTCTATATCTATGAAATGAGGTATTGTAACTATTTGCACTATTTACATAATTCGGACTTTTGTCCTCATCTTTAGTGTCATATTCCCGATGTTTCGGCTATTGTACGCTGTGACCTTCTTCAGGGCATATACATTGGAATTTCAAATTTATTTAATCCGCAGGGGTACAGTGTTCATGCCATGCCTTTTTTGGATATCTCTGTTTCAGTTTATTCCCTTTAGTTACTCAACTCTTCAAGTTTTTTTTTCACTCAGCTGTAGCCAGGTATTTAATTCACAACAATTTCGGTCAAGTCACATTTGGGATTACTTTAACCAACGATTTTATCCACAAGGGTTCGGTTCGAAATATAACAAAGTATATCACCTGAAGAAGGCTGGAGCGTAAAAGGATCGAAACGTCTTGAATATGGTAATAATGACGAGGACAACAATCTAAACCATGTAAATAGTGTAAATAACCTTAGTTATAGAACAAATATGTATCAGGGTCACATCTAATTTTGTATTAAGTGTTTTATTTCTCCTATACTGGTTGTCAATCATGGCTAGTTAATTCAGTTGGTCCTGTTATTAAAACTACAGTTGTGTAGGTGGGGTATACCATTTTTATGAGTATTGAATGAGTTTGAATGTAGCGATTTTGTCCAGAATTTGAATTCGGTTTGCCAATTTCTTGTTCCGAGCCTCTATTCACTGATCTATCTGCATATTCCAGAAACGATTTTATATGAAAAATAAAGATCAAACTTTATACAAAAACACCGTGGGCGAAGAAAAAATGTTATATGCAAATTCTTTAAGATTAACTGCTACCAAGAAAAATATAATCAGGCAAATACATATAGAATAGTTCCTACCATGAAAAAGAAAACAATATGTAAATACAGAACATCAAGCAAATAAGAAAAATATCCTATATGAAAATTCATAAAGAATATCATGCAATCACGAAAAAAATATCATATAGACCATCTCCAAGTACGAAAAATATCCTATATGAAAATTCATATAAAATATCATGAAAGCAACAAAATTATCGTATATGCAAACTCATACAGAACGAGATACAAGCACGAAATATATCCTATTGGCAAATTCTTATTGAACATCATGGAAGAACGAAAAATACCCTGTATGCAAATTCATACAGGACATCATGGAAGAACGAAAAATACCCTGTATGCAAATTCATACAGAACATCATGGAAGAACGAAAAATACCCTGTATGCAAATTCATACAGAACATCATGGAAGAACGAAAAATACTCTGTATGCAAATTTATACAGAACATCATGGAAGAACGAAAAATATCCTGTATGCAAATTCATACAGAACATCATGGAAGAACGAAAAATACCCTGTATGCAAATTCATACAGAACATCATGGAAGAACGAAAAATACCCTGTATGCAAATTCATACAGAACATCATGGAAGAACGAAAAATACTCTGTATGCAAATTTATACAGAACATCATGGAAGAACGAAAAATACACTATAATCAAATTCCTCTATGCAAAGTCATAGATAATTTGATGCAAGCACGAAAAATACTCTACATTCAAATTCATGCGGAACATCAAGGAAGTACCAAAAATATCGTATATGCAAACTCATACTGAACTTCGTGCAAGCAGGAAAATACACTATATGCAAATTCATACAGAACATAATGCAAGCTCGAAAAATACCCTATATGCAAATTCATAGGGAACATCCTGAAAGCACGAAAAATACACTATAAGCAATTTCATACGGAACATCTTGCAAGCACGAAAAATACACTATATGCAAATTCATACGGAACATCATGTAAGCACGAAAAATATCTTTCATGTGGGCATAGAAAGAATTTTTTAAATGTCTTGGAGAATAATTATGTGTTTAAAATAAAGCATCAAATGTGTTGTTTTGTGCTTCCTTATTTGCTCTGTCTCGATATTTAAAATATAAACACAAAACATTTCATGGTATAAAAAGGCGACTAAACAACTTCGATTCTTTTAGCGACTACGATTTTTTTTTTTTTTTCAAAAGCTGCGTTTATAGTAACCTTTTTTGACTTTGAATAACAATTTACTGTTATCTCTGCACGTCAATCGCATTGTTGGGGTTAAAAAAAAATTTAACTTAACCTACCCAGTATTCTGTTATCTACATATTATAGACCCACACGAACGAGAGTTTGTACACACATAGACATACCGACTCTCCTTTTGTTAAGAAGTGGGAAATTTTTATCAATTATAAAAGTTTTAATTATCAGAAGTTATAAATACAAACAGTATATTTATTTATCTTCATCGGAAATTTTGGTAAATAGAAACATTTTTGGTGAAGCAAAATTAAGGAAAATGGTAACGTTAAATTTATAAAGATTTTTTTTTCTGTTTCTTCCTTATTGTTCTTTATTTACTGGCCTGGATGTCCGAGAAATTTCAAAGGTAATATGTGTCCTCCGAAAAGAAAGGAACCTTTATTTACACGGAACCGCCATATAGACTGACGTGCCGTAGCATTTAGCTACAGAGGAAGCGTCTGGCTAGCAAGGATAAATTACTGTTTTTTGAACTACAAATTTCCCATGATTTCCCTCGACCTCTCATATCCACTCGAAGCGTATCCCAACGTAAAAAATGGAATGATATATTATGAAATGGATTAAGTCAGACAATTATTTTAAATATTTGTATCTATAAAAATAACGTATGAACAAAAAATATATTAAAATAATTGTCGGACTTAGTCCATTTCATAATATATATATATATATATATATATATATATATATATATATACACACACACACACTCTCTCACAAATACTCACACACACACACACGCACACATATATATATATATATATATATATATATATATATATATATATATTAAATAGAAAGAGAATGTCTCATATCGAGAATGTCTCATATCGAGAATATTTAACATCGAAAAACATAGAGGAGAAAAAAAATAATTATTTTTAAGAATATGTCTCCACCCTTTACCTGATGACGGTCGCGAGACCAGAAACACTTGTAGTAAAATTATGAAAAATTATGAAAAATAAAGCATAATATTTTTTAAAAAATCCACATTACTACCAAAGACGTCTGCGGTATCTCTTCTTTATAATATACAGACTTTTCTCTCGTTGGAACTTCTATAATCTCTTCCTTATATATATATATAGCTTTCGTGTTTCGGCAACTTTTGCTTCTTCAGGCGATGGTCAGTAACTGGAGATTAAATGATTCTTAAGAAAATTTTAAAAGGAAATTATTGTCTCTTTTTAGAAAGATGAAGGGAGGCGGTGACAAAACACAAGGTTAGAATTTAAAATAGACTTGTGGGTTTGTCTTGATCAACCCATTAATGATAGATAGATAGATAGATAGATAGATAGATAGATAGATAGATAGATAGATAGATAGATTGTAGTTGAAACGAATTCTAACCTAAGCATCTTTTAAAAATTGCAGTTAAATAAAATGTATTCTAACCTCTAAAAAAAAAAAGTACTACCGGCACTTAAATGAATCCAATAAAACACCTACTGAAAAATGAAATTATAACGAAAAGCTAGATGATGTAGGCCAGTGAACGACCCATGTCCTTTGTACATACATATGAAACTTTATTACTTAGTTTATATATATTTAAAATAAATAAATTAATTAATTAATAAATAAAGTTTACTAAATCTAAGAAATGAATGAGCTATTTTTGCAGTAAGCGCCATAAATATTACTTAAATAATATTTAAATATAAAAGTTTGAAAATCGTAATATACATATACTTTGATATGGAAAAATAATTTTACTTACTATAAGTAATTACAAATACATTTCCTTCTGATATAAAGTAATATAGGCAATTAAAACTAACAATGAAAATATTCTAAAGTTGTAATTAAAATTATAGTTAAATAAAATGAATTCTAACCTAAACTTCTTTTACTTAGTACTACACGCACTTAATCCAATAAAACACCTATAGTAAAATAAAATTAATATGAAATGCCAGAAGATGTAAGCTTATGAATGACCCATGTCCTTTGTACTTAATGAGAAACAATATATTACTAGGTGTGTATATATAAAAAATAAAAGTTTACTAAATCAGTGGAATTAAGTAACTATTTTTGCCGTCATTATCCTAAATCTTACTTATAAAAAAAAAAATGTACCCTAATATACATACTTATACTTGATGTAAAAATAATCCTACATACTATAAGGGATTCTAATACATTTAACTGTTCATAAAAAAAATATAGTATAATAAAAATTATAAATGAGAATATTTCAAATTGTAGTTAAATAAAAAGTATTCTAATCTGAACACCCTCGAAAATCTTTAAATTTACAACTAGAAAAAAATGCCGTAAGAATTTTTTGCCGTTAACAATAAATTTTAAAAAAGTCCAGACGACATGCATTCAACGGATGTCAGTTTTCATTGAAAAATACATCCCTACTCCTTACCAAAATGTAGCTAATAACCGATACAATGATACAGACAAAAGGAAAACCCAGAGATCCCTTGTCCAGCTGAAGTAGATTTATCTGTAACCATAGAAACGTGATTTTAGCTGTGTCTTTAAAACCCAGTAATTTTAAAAGTTACTCCAAAATTCGCTTGATGTTGAAATGGAACTAATATCTTTAATATTGCAAAATTAAATTCGTGGCTCTTAGCTTCCATTTTTGAAACATAAGGGTATACTGAAAAGCAAGAGAGACAGGAGGAAGTAAACTATCTAAAGCCCCTCAATGTAGAGGGTTATTAAATGAGGTTGTTTTATGAATGAAAGATTTGTAGGTTAAGATAATAAATAACAGTTGACCCTCGACATGAAGAGATTAATATTATAGTGGTCGGGAAAGCATCCTCTCGGGAGTCTGTTTCACAATGCAACGGCTCTTGAGAAGAACCTACACGAATGAAACTTCTCTTTGTCAATAGAATACGAAGAGAATGAAGATGGTTCGAGCCTGTGTACATGACATGTGAGCTTTAGCTGTAAATGACTAAACTTGTAGAACTATGGATATGCAACTCGTCTGAATATTTGCAATATTAATAGTGAGAGAGTAGTAATAGTTTGGCGAGGTTGTGTCTGTGAGGAAAAGGGTTATAGGTCGGAAAATAGTTCATCACCCACAAGACCGCGTAAACGTGTCTAAAGTCTGTTTATTTTGGAGAGATAGTGCAGAGGGGAAAATGTGCGAAAAGCGGCGAAATGAAATAATCTTCAAACACAGCAATAGAAATAGAAATATTAGGTTGGTGCAAAATAATGTCGATTTTTGACGTTAAGTTGAACGTCAAAAAACGACATTATTTTTGCACCAACCTAATAATTTTATTACTGAGTATAAAAATAATCTTTGTTTTCCTATAATTTAAAAAAAAAATTATAGAGTTCATCGAAAATAAAGTTCATACGAAAAATGTTTTGCTTTTCTTTTTACAACACAAAAGAAATGCGTTAGTATAGGGTGAAAGGTATGTATGAATTCATCACGCAAAAATTCACGAACTACATTATATTGTGTATATGTGTGCAACGTAGTTAGCAGCCAGCCGATTAAATATCAACAACATTAAGGCTTTGAAGACAACGCTTTGTTTATGTCTCGCTTCGATATTTTCGTAATGTAACCGTGCAAACTGCTATATGAAAATACTTTAAAATCGAGAAACAATAAGGAACTTAGTACTCAATATTTATTTTTTTTTTTTTTTGAGCAGCGAAAATTTGAGAATTTAGTGTTGTTTAAAACCCAAAATTCAAATTATACTGAAGACAAAAGATTATTAATTTTACGTTACGCTATTTATACGAAAAATCGGATCACAGGAAGTTAAAACTAAAATTTACTAAACTCAGAAGATTTATTGGTTAGTAAATATATTTACCAATTTTTAAATTCGATTTTTAGGAATGAAAAGATTGTTAATCATTTTCTGGCTGTGAGCGTTCAATTTGTTAACATGTGACAAGAAATGGTTGTCTGCTTTTTCAAAGCTTGGATGAGGTTTGAGACAACGTCGATGATTAATTAATAAATGCTTATATGGAAATTTAAATTTGAAGTTTGTGTGAGTCTATTTTTGCACAGATTTGAGGTGATCCTTTTTTTTTATCCTATTTTCTGCTTTTTATGTTTGATAGGAGGAAGATAACGGTTAATTCTAACCAGATTAAGATTGTATTGATTCCTTTTTTTCCATAGGGCAGTGGTCAAGAAGAGTGGAACCCGATGGAATTTGCTCTCGGCCCAGCTCTGTAACCCAGATTTCGTGCTTGATGGCTCCCTCTTGCTTGGGGATGAAACACTTAAAAAAAACGCATTTGAAAGGCCCTTAATTTTTCGGACTGATGACAGTGCATTTAGGAAAATGCTTGAGACAATAAGTTTTATTTTAACGTTTGATAGATTCTATTCATCGTGACTGGCGGGTATTTTGATCGTTGTTTTTTTTGGTTTTACAGTCATTGAATGTAACCAGCCAGTTTTTTTCCCCGCAATCCTCTGATTGCAGAGACTTTTAGAGTGACCATATCGTTATTTTATCGGTGATAGTCAAGCTGATCGAAATCTTCGTCAGATTAGGTAGGACGATTTTGGAGAACGCCTGCGACAATTGACTTAATAATAATCACCTTCAGTTTACTTTAAGAATTTTTAAAATAAAGAAAAAAAATAACAGAACGAAAAATAGGGGCCTTCGAAAAATTATGGTTTTTGCACGCAAGGGGGCAATGGATCGGATACAAACCCCATACTGCTCGTCGCTGAGATGTTGGTTCCGTCCACGTGCTTGCTGATTATGGAAAGAACAATCATTAACGGGGTTTCTAAAGGGGATTAGGCATCTCCTGCCTAGATAGACAGGAATCTGAGCAAAGATGAATGGAGCCAGAAGGATAGAGGATAGATCATGGATCATATATAGACGTTGATTGACATTATGGAGTCTCATTTGAATATTCATCGTTGGAGATTATCAGTTTAAGAAACATCAGACTTTATTACTTTGATTTAAAGAGGGAAGGAGTTCCACAGGTGAGAAGGCCTTTTGATCAGGAGAGGTTTTGAGGACATGGAACCACCTCTTAATTGAGTTCCCTGGTCCCCGAGAAGAGACGGCCCCACTTTGATTTTAAAAAAAGGCCAGAACACTATGGGGTTTTATGATGATAATGATGACCATGTTTTTGAAAAAAAAAATGTCTTTTTTGGGAAAAAAGTATACTTAGCAATAAAAATATTGATTAAATAACCCATTGAGGTTGATGCTCATCAAAACAAAACAAACATAAATATTTAAGGAGGGCAGAGCGATATTCTCCAAGTTTTTCTCATTCCTCATTGATTTAACATTTCATTATTATTCATTAACAACGTGGAGTCCCTCTGTCTTTTTGAATTTCGAACCTACTAAGTCAACGTCCTTTTTTCTGTATCGATAAACCCTACACTACGGCTCACCAATGCAACATTCGTATATTTAATACCATATAATCAGTGGTTCTTTGTTAGGCGATTTAGGTCTATAAAATACGTGGTCATTTCGTGAGAGAATTGCATTTGATGACTGGGCGAGAAAGGAAGAAAAAAAACAAATCAGGTATAGAAAACGTGGAAATCACTTTTAATGGACAAAAAACAGCTGGTCAACGGAGTGGGGGTTACAGATTCGTCACGACACATTTCGGTGAGATTCTTCAAAAGGTGCCGGTTATTATTGCTGGCATAAAATCTGCTTCAAAGAAATTCAGGAGAGATTAAAATCTTCAACTGCATTATTTCAATTATTTTTATTGCTCTGATGATTATAATGAATAAAATAAATCTTTGAATGATAATGAATCGGACGAGACTTTGAAGTGGACGTTGTAAGTATGACGATACGAAGCGATAGGAAAACATTTATGGGCTGAAAAGAAAAAAAATAAACGAAATTTGCATTGCTGATTAATAGGAATGAAGATAGATAGATAGATAGATAGATAGATAGAATTATTTTTATTAGATATTATAATAGATAAAATAAATCGAATGATAATGAACGGACTTTTGTGATAGATAGATAGATAGATAGATATTAATATAAGCAAAATAAACGAATGCACTGTGATAGATAGATAGATAGATAGATAGATAGATAGAGATAGATAGATAGATAGATAGATAGAAGATACACTGACATAGATAGATAGATAGATATAGATAGATAATGACTAGATAGATAGATAGATAGATAGAATATAGATAGATAAGAATACACTTAGATAGATAGATAGATAGATAGATAAGCACGAATGCACTGTGATAGATAGATAGATAGATAGATATTAATATAAGCACGAATGCACTGTGATAGATAGATAGATAGATAGATAGATAGATAGATAGATAGATAGATAGATAAGAATACACTGACATAGATAGATAGATAGATAGATAGATAGATAGATAGATAGATAGATATGAATATAGGCCCGAATACACTTAGATAGATAGATAGATAGATAGATAGATAGATAGATAGATAGATAGATAGATAGATAGATATTAATATAGGCACGAATGCACTTGTTAACCCAAGACTTGATCAGTTTAAGATTTTAGTGGTCGGAAAAGCGTCCTCTTGGGAGTCAATTCTACAAAGAAGCAATTCTGTCGGTAGAAACTCTTCGAATGGAACTTACTTCAAATTTATGGAATACAAAAGCAATGAAGGTCGGTCCATCTTATTGTATTCGGTGGAAAGATGTTGAAACTAAAGAATCTAATGCGTCTGTTACATGGAAATAGCGATAGAGTAGCAAGAAGCTTGCAACGTTTCATCTCTGGGTAAGGGATTTCACGGTGGAAAATAATTCATCACCCCCAGGGCCGTGTGTACGCTTTTGGACTCTGTCAAGAATGGAATTAAAACCTGAGCAGCGACAGCGCAGATATTGCAGTAGGACTCCATTTTCGGCCTGATCTGACTCTTGTAAAAGGTACAGCATAGCAGGAGGAGTCGGGTTCTTACTTGAGTGAAACAGGGAATCAACCGTTTTTAATCATTTTCAGCAATGGATCATATATATAAGTTCCAAAGTCAGGGTTGAGCTTAATCCCAATAGGCGCTCAAGGCAAAGGGGACTCCTTGAGAGAACACCTGTTCATTGCAATAGGCAAAAATTCAGGGTCCTAGTTTGATTTTCGCCATTTTCTTCACCATGTTTTTCACAGTGAGATTCACCTTATACAAAGCCTGGAGGCCGCTTGAGGTAGAGGCTTAGGTTAGGAGGTAGTTTGTACGGATACGAGGGGAAGATAACGGTTAACCCTTGACTTAAACAGATTAAGATTGTAGTGATCGGGGAATCATCCTCTTTCGGTTCATCAGAGCAATGGTTCTCTGGAATAAGCTGTTCTATAGAATACGGAGTGAATGTGGTGGGTGCTGCTATGTAAGGAAATCCTAGCCGTGAAGGTTAAAGCTGGTGGAACCAAAGAATATAGTTCGTCCGAGCACTTTCCGTGAAAACAGCGATAGAGCACCGAAAGGATTACCACCTCAAACCTGTGAGAGAGTGGTTGGAGTGTGGCAGATAATTCGTCACCCACAAGAACTCGGTGACCCCTTTTGGGCTCTATCGAAGCGGGAAAGTGCGGTCTGGGTAGCTTCCGCCCAAATATGACAACCCCATTCTTGGCCTGATCTCGCTCTTGTAAAGGTAGAGGATAGCAAGGTGGAGTCAGGTACTTACTGAAGCGGTACAAGGAGCCGAACTTTTGCCTGAATCTTTAGCGATTGCTCGTATATACGCGTTGAGAACAGGTGTGAGTTTAAGGACGAACAGTCTCTCAAGGCACGATGCCTCACCGAGGGGTCATCCGTTCATCGTGAGATATTAAAGCGAGGTCTGAGCAGAGATCAGCTGCCAGGCTCTAGTCATGTAGAATTTGTAATATACTGCAATATCATCTGCATAGATATTCACAAAAGATTGAAGTATAAGTAGAGTCGTAGGTAGATCATTAATTCATAGAGGGAGCGCTTGTGTTGTCATCCCTATGCCACATCTTGTCAAACGCCTACGATATATCTAATGCGATCGTCCTGTTGTGTAATGTCTCACTGATACTGTGAGTAATGAAAGGATATCAAGAGTGAACAGAGCCTATCTAAATCCGCATTGTTTGTTGTTAAAGCGGTTGTCTACATTGAGGTGATCCACAAACTTCTTGCTGATTAAAACCTCAAATAGATTGCTGGTGACATTAAGGTGGCTGAAGGGTCAACAGTGGTACGAGGATGAGCAAGATAGATAGATAGATAGATAGATAGATAGATAGATATGAACAGACGAAGATAGATAGATAGATAGATATGACGAGACCACTACGCTATTCACTGCTTATATCTATATATAGTAATATAATTATGTTATTCAAATTTCCTCTGTTTATGGTTAAGAATGCTCAATACCAGGTACGTAGTATTTGTAGATACATATAATATTTATGGCACTTGAAATATATATATAGATATATATATATATATATATATATATATATATACAAAAGTGAACATAAAGTCAACATAGAGGCGACAGTCTGTTTCATACTAGATGCAATCGTCAGGGCCTGACGATTGCATCTAGCATGAAACAGACTGTCGCCACTATGTTGACTTCTATGTTCACTTTTATATTTACACACATCTATCTCTGATATTGGGCACTTTATCCCATAAATATAGCCCATCTTAAGACTATATTTCTTTATATATATATATATATATATATATATATATGTGTGTGTGTGTGTGTGTGTGTGTGTGTATTTGTATATTTAGGCAGCAACCATTCGTTTATGTATGTTTCGTTAAAAACGACAATCAAGGTACTACGGTTAAGCTTTTTATTTAATTTTTCTTGTGTTCGAACAAGAACTTTCTTTTCTGGAGAAATAGTTTGTAAAAACTGTTCAAATATTTTATAGTTCCGAGCGCTTTCGGCTATACCTTTAGCCATTATCAAGGATGATTCGATTTTTCAGCTTAATTGAGTGCGTGCATTAAGTGTATATTTTAGTGTGTTGTAGGGATGCTTTAATTTCCGAATACGGTTAGCACATTGTGACCTTGTTTGTAGTTAATATTGTTAAGAGTTGGCTTTATATATATATATATATATATATATATATATATATATATATATATATATATATCGTCAGCATGAAACGCACTGTTGCCTCTTACTTGAGTTGAATTCTACTTTTATATTTATATACGTTCTATACCTGATATTGAACACATTAATCTATAAATATAGCATGCCTCAAAACTATATATATATATATATAGAATCCAGGTAGAACTCAAAAGTCCAGGACAGCTTAAGAATATAATATAAAAGGCTCAAACACTAATATTCCATGGTTATAATTTATTATATTTTACAATTCCAATGTAATAAATTATAACCATGGAATATTAGTGTTTGAGCCCTTTTATATATATATATATATATATATATATATATATATATATATATATATATATATATATATATGGAAATCTAATGAACTATATATATATATATATATATATATATATATAGAGAGAGAGAGAGAGAGAGAGGAGAGAGAGGTGAAGAAAATTCAGTAAATCGATTACAATTTTGCATTGAACATGCTGAAGACATTTAGCTTTAAATTAAGATTTTAATATTTTTAACATTTTTTTTTTGACATCCGAGCCACTAAATTCATCTTTCCATCGCTTATAGAATTAAATAAATAAATATAATACAAAATTCTATAAAAAACAAAGAGACTAAACACACACACACACACATATATATATATATATATATATATATATATATATATATATATATATATATATATATATATATATATATACAGAGAGAGAGAGAGATAGATATGATAAGCCATATATATATATATATGTGTGTGTGTGTGTGTGTGTGCATTATAATTATTTTCTTTTTTAAAAATATGATTCCAATGCGACACAGAAATTTCTATATTTCAAAACCGAAACTAAAATGTAAAATTGTAAATTTAATTATAAAAATTAAACTTAAAATCTAGAGTTTCATTACATTGTCAAGCGATTCTAGGAATAACTTTCTAAGAAATTTACTTTATTTACAAGCGCAGACAATCTTAATATTTTGAGTTGTTAAGGTTAGGGAATATTCAATCTGTTTTGATTAGGGGGGGGGCTTCGGTTTTAATTTCCCTAGACAACTCATGTATCAAATATATGTTACAAAGTCAGTTTAAGCTTAGGCCAGGTGAGGGTGCCTGCTCACAAACATAGACATCCGTTATTCAGTGTGTTGTCTGGGTTTTCAATGAACAAGAAATTTTTTGGCATTTTTATATTTCGGCTTAATTCATATTCTTATACACAAATATTTTCTAAAAGGGTCATCTAAATATGAGTAAGTCATATTTTTAATATTTAAATTTTATTCCTATCAGTACCATTTCTCCTTCTAATAACTAATAGACTATACGATATTTTTATAAATAAATATATTAGAATTTAATTTCGCATTTAAAAAATTATTAATTAATGATCAAGTATAAAAATGTATATTTCAGCTCTCTTCATTTTCACACACACACACACACTAGAAGAGATATTGCATTGATAAACTATATTTACAACCAATAATATTTCTAGGCTGATTTTGTGGTTTTAATTAAAGAGAATAAAAATAAATAGGCTAACGAAATAATTCAGTATATTCATAAGCAATTTCTCTGATGCTTTTCTTTGTCAGTTTTCGTCCTTGTCTTTCTTTTCTTTAACCGACTGTCGAGGTCTTTCTTTACAGTCAACTGCAAGGCTCGTTAATCCGTTATCCTATTCATCTCAATACCATTTCAAAGGGTTTCACTAAATCATTCTTGTTGAAAATATCTCTATTAAAATCAATCCATCACTTTATGATGTATCTTAACCTTTCTTTCCCTCATCAGAAACAAAAGCACCGCCATCTTATAAATCCGTAATGTAATGGCGAATTCATTTTTAAAACTTTATTTTCGCTTTACAACTTAAATAAGAATTTACCGCTATTTTTTGTGTGTCATGAAAACTGCACTTTCTGCTCTGCTGAGTCATTTAAAAATGCACAGCTGCGTATCTACCGTCGACGAGTCACCATTTTGATTTTTTTCATTTGATAACACGAGGAAACTTCACTTTTAAGAAACTTCATTAAAAAGATCGCTTTATACTGTATTTTGATTTTTTAAAATTTTGTCAAAATTGCTCTATTCAAACATTGAAAACAGATGTTTAACCATTTTTTTCCGTAAATTTTATTTAAACGACAATGTAAAAATGCAACGATAAAGATAGTTTTTGGCGATTATTAAGAAGGTGCTGTGAATGATTAAGTTGTCAAAATTGGTTTGTAACCTTTCATGCTAAACATTCCAGCAGAAGGGTACGCAACAGGGGCATTTGATAATTTTAATAGGAGCATTTTTCAACAAGAGCATTTTATTATTCTTACAGCTGTGTTTGATAACAATAAAATCAAAATACTCCAGATTAATATTATGTTTTATATTCCGTGATAAGGGAATAAATACTTAAAACCAGATGGATAATAAAAAAAAAAGGTTTATTGTACAAAACCTGTACAATATGAAATACGGTACAGTTATACACATAGGTCAATCTCGTGCCACTAATTGAAAGGTCGGACGTGCTTGCGTCGTCTCGTTCTCACTCTTCCCCGAGTCACTCGTAGACAGTTGATTTTATAGGTACTTACTACCTATAGTGTAATCGGAAAACTCTATGTCTAGCAACAGGATTCTGCACCATGCCACACAAGCAGAAGAACCCACTCATGGCTGTCAGACAATTTCTGAGACCACATCACCCCTTACATCTGAGCATCTAACTTCCTAGACTGCAAACCCCTTAATTTTTATGTGTGGGGCGCAGTTGAGCGAGAGACCAACAAAACTCTTGGTAACACCAAAGATGAACTGAAGGCAAGAATTATGGCAACATTCACCAACTTAACAAGAAGACCGTCCAGAAGAGTTGCACGAGATTCCAAAGTCGTCTGGAGGCCCTAATTGAAGCCAATGGCGATTTTATTGAATGAATTTACTCTTTAGTATTTCTAGATATGTTTTGTGTAATTTTGGTAAATATATCTGTTAAAATGAGATGTCAACCGATGTTCATCTAAAGAAGGTGATGCTGCGTATAGAATTAGATTGGAAGGGAATCTATTAAAAGATTTTTCAGAAGACCTAAACGCTTGATTCGAACAAGTACTGTTCCTATTTCAACTAGTTGAAAGTATTAAAATGTCATTTTAACAAAATGGCAAATATGTTGTTCAAAAGATTTAATGTTGGAAAAAAATGGCTAGCTAATCCCTGTTGCTGACGCCTGTTCAGGCACATATGTCCTTCTTCAAAACTCTCAGAGCTAATATGTTATTTGCACTGTAATTACGCTGAGCAGAACTTAATGGCTGTTTCTGTAAGAGTTCACAGCATCTGGCGTTTTCAGACCCTCAATCACGATTATTTGTGGTTTCGTATGAACACACATATCGACGGCTTCTAGAACAGTTTCGTCTAACCATTTTTAGACACAAGGCTTGGATTTGCCTCTCTTATGTTCTTCGAGCATTTCTCGACGGTTCCACACCCTGGGTTTGTCTCCCTAGTTTATATTACTATATCACGTGATTCACGCCAATAAATACCAAAATGGTGTGAATCTAATTTAATGCCGATAAGGGACCTTTGTTCTACGAGAAGTATGTACTTGGTTTAACCTAAGATATACTAAATTGCCACACTAGAGCATCAGAAGAGACAAGTGCATCAGAGGATTGACCAAGAAGGTGAACCCATGACCACAGTTGCAGATTCAAGCTTTGAACCATATCAGTGGCTATCCACAGACATGTAAACATGTGGCCGACCCAGATGCGCTTCAGATATTCACACATGGGGCAACTGGTGGCAGGAAAATATATATCGGCGAGAAGAAAAATAAAGAAACAGCCTTTCACATTAACGCTGAAAGAATATCAACGTTCTAAGAAAGCCAAAAAGACACCCCATCACACCGATAATGACGAAGTCCGGAGTTAAATAAACAGCAATTTTACGTATGAGAGATTTCACAACGTGTTCTTAATCTTTACAGTGATAACTTTAAGAATCCACTTCCATGAGAGATCGTCTCGTGGGATTAGAACTCGGATCTTATGGTTAGAACAGTAAGTTGTTAATCAATCAGGTACTACAGACTAAATTTCGATAGTAATAGTTAACAAGCTAGTCTTCCAGTCTATTTGTTTGATTTGATTTGTTTGTTTAACGGCATATGAAATCCTTATGGACGATTTAATGCCGAAACCTAATTTTCTTGGAAGTTTGAAGTAATAAAAATATACGTTACTCTGTTTTCACAATCGAATGCATGGTAGATGATACTCAGCTTTTGTGCATATATATGTTTGTGTGGACATAATTACAACAGATGGCGATATGTGTGTTTTGCGTTGTTTTGTTGAAGTTATATTTTGAAAAAGAGTTTGATTTCTTTCAGAAATTGTATGATGTCATATGGATTAAGATCATGAAAGATTTCTTTCGTGTTGGCTAATTTTGTTTAGCGGTATATCAACGCCTCTATGTGTCATTTAATGCCGAAATTTAATTTAAACTTAGAAGTTTGAAGTAATAAAAATATGATATATGCTATTCTGCTTTCACAATTAAATACATGGTAGATGATGCTCAGCTTTTATGCATATATATGTTAGTTTGGAGATGATTACAAGAGGTGGTGATATGTGTGTTTTATGTTGTTGTTATATTTGGGTATAGAGTTGAATTCCTTTCCGAAATTGTATGATATTATATGGATTAATATCATGAAAGAGTTATTTCCTATTGTTTGTGTCTGTGATGGTGTTTAGTGGTAAACCAAATAAATATTTTGAACTTAGTTGTATGCCTTCAACTACAGATAAAATGTATTGTTCGTCATTTTGCTATAAAATGTATTGTTGATATATATATATATATATATATATATATATATATATATATATATATATATATATATGAAAATGCATTGCTGGGATTTTTACTATAAAAAATGTACTTTTATACTTTCACAGTGATTTGCTTTTGTTTGAGGAGGTTCATTTCCTATAGCTGGGACCCTAACAGGTGCTACCACCACGGATCAGGATGGCCTTGGGAACAACAGCAACTAAGATGTGGTTCCACACACCTCAAAACCTCCGAACCCACAGTCTATTTGTCTGATGCTTGTTAGTTACATTGACTTGTGTCAGACATATTTAATTTAGTGTATATATATATATATATACTAAGCGCTTTTCAGAGATGAATATTTAGCAACTTAGCGTCGCTACATTCTTCTTCGATATACCGTATCTTTTCATGACGTGAACAAACATGGGTTTCCACAACTTCTTATCCTTTTTACCTCTTAGCAATGTCATTTTTCCCCTTTAGTATCAATCCAATTCTCTATTCGGCCATACATTTACACAAGTTTGTTAAGTGGGTTTCTCGCTATTTCCTTCTTACCCTACTGTTGCGTGTGTAGTGATAGCGATGTTCATTGAAAACTCATTGTTTTGGCCTTGTGTCAAACTATGATTAAGTATGTCTTGTTAATGTAGACTTCTCTTTCGAAAGTGAGATTTTTTTCCTGAAGAGTTCCGCTGAGATAGATAGAAATTTCGAAATTAAATCAAGGAATCAGAAGCAAGACTAAGTGAAATCTTATAGTCACTCGATTCAATGTCCATTTAAATTCTCTCTCGCTTTACCCTCTCCTTCCCTAAACCTGATTCCCGCCGGGCACAGGATAACTAAACATGTACAATTATCAGCCAATCAAAGGAAAAAGTAATGCTATAATACAGAAATGCCGTATCTTTGATTGGCAGGAGGCAAAGTCGAGTGCGACGATGTCGAAGGAAGTCTGATTCGAATCTTTAGGATTCGCCTCTTTGGCATCATTCGCCGGACAGTCCGGCATGTAATTACTTTCTGTGTGAACGTGCACGAGTTTAACTCTTTACCGCGTACATACCCACGGGCGTTCGTTTATATGGTTTATATGGTTGCATATAGACATATCAAATTCTTGTGCGTGTTTGTAGGTTTCCGGAAGTTTAGAATTGGTCTAACGGTTAAAAAAGGTGGTCTGAGTTCAAATTCCATCTGAGGCAGTTTGGATTCATAATAATACTACTAGAAAAATGTACAAAATCTTTTTAAAAAGGTTAGGGATTGCGCTCAATGTGTCGTAATACAATCAAAGCGCAAAATGTTTTGTGTTGCATGTTGAGACGATGGGCAGCGTACATAAACACCTACCATATTAGATGAACTTAATTACGAATAGATATACGAGAAGGAACAAACAGATAAACTCGAATAAAGATGAACAGTCTTACATAGCTAGCTAGATAGATAGGTAGATAGATAGATAGATAGATAGATAGATACAT